AAAAAAAATTTGGCATTTTCCATCTCATGATAAATAACTGGAAATGAGATAAACTTTTTCGCTTTGGAAAAAATCTCCAAATTCATGTACTGTAGCGGTATGGATTGCCAATGGACAGCTAGTGGTGGAACTATATAATTTTCATACAAAATATAAGAGTTTTGCAGTATTGGACAACCTGGAGTTGTTTCATCGGCATAATAGGAATATGGTAAAAATGCATGAAGAAAGGCAGAATGCGAATGATTTCACTGCTGCGTCAAAGGAGGAAAAAGGTATTTTTTCTTTCGTTCTTTTGTAATAGAAAATACTGGATCCTTCAGGCTATGATCCCGTTCAATCTGTTAATTCCACTAGCAACGGTGTTCACTTCATCCCGCTTGATCCAGCAAACTTTGATTTGGATGTTATTCAGAAGCTACAACATGGCACTACCGTATGCTAGTTCGCTATGACTGATTAACTTCTGAAAATTGAAAAGATAATGTTAAGGTCATCCACTATGATAATGATTCCGGTCGAAGTGTACTGTGTGTTTTGCGATTGGATGCAAGTTGTGGTACTATCTCATGGCATAGAATCACCTATTGGGCTACAAAGGACTCAAAGGAGAAGGTTATTCTTTAACTGCAGTATCCAGGCCTATGGGAACTGGGTTGGGTTTCCCGTGTGGAACCTGTTTTGAAGAACTTACTAGGCTATTGCCTAAGCGGCAGCTCGTATCCATTCGAGATCGAGAAGTTTAATTCCGAAGTCTCGCCCGACCGAACTGAGAGGGGACCAAATGGCATCCCTGAGTACGGTAGAGCACGGTCTGGGCGGGAGTTCGAAGCTGAGTTTTGCGGTCACGAATGACTTACTGGAGCTATCGCTTGAGCAGTGGCTTTGTTGAAACTTCAATTCAGTATCAAGTTGCGAAGTCTGAGTAACCACAATCGCCTAGACACGGTTTTAATCTGCACAAATTTCACCGCTGAAAATGTCATATTCAGGAATTTGCTCTGTCGAAGCAAGTAGTAGTACCCATGGCCACTGGTGCGCTTGAACCCGCAAAAATCACCAATGCACCCATGTATTCGAACAGAATGCAAGGTATCTTTCACCAGGATTTTGTCGGAAATGGAAATTTCCATTTAGGACCCTTTTCTACGAGGCTTGAAGAAGGCGAGCTCAAGTTAGTGTCAGTGAAAGAGGTCGAGCCGGTGGATGATTACGATTTAGATATCGAGGTGAGGGACATCATTGAAATATTGGGTTGATGCGCAATTCTTGCACCGAAAAATAGGAAAAAGTCATTTTTAAAATACTTAAAAAAGTATCAATTTACACAATGGCTCTTTGTTTGTATCTTACAATACCACCTTCTCTTAGTCAAAGTGAGTAGGTAATAAGACCAAAAATAAATTTGATTTTAGTAGACGTTCTGGCAATTTTAGCAACCAAATATCAAAGTCTTTTGGTATTCTCTTGAACAGCTCAATTTCGTTGCCATATACACTTGAAAAATTTTACCTCAATCAGATTCTGAAAGTGCAAATTTTCTCTCCCTAAAAACTATAAAATCAGAAGATTTCAATGGAAGCTGCAAAAATCAACAGAATTTCAAAAATTTTGGTGCAAGAATTATGCATC